TGAGCAACCATGGGTAGAAGAGGCAGCTGGGGAAGCACAGGTCTCAGAGACAGACCCAGCCATCAGGATGGGATCAGCACTGATGAGATAGAGCCAGACAGGGCTGGAGGCCCCCTGTCCTAGGGTGATGTCAAATGGTTATGCGGAAGGTTTAAATCATCTCAAAATAAAAGTAATCCAAACTTAAAACTTCAGGAAAATCAAGCTATATCTCAAACAATGGTATCCTAACATCCTGTACATATAGAATGTACACATAGAACATACATATAGAGTGTGCATAACGTTTTGCACGTTCATGTGTGAGGCAAGTTAACTTGGTGTATCTCCATCCCAGACCCAGAGCCAGGCATAGATATTTGTGACAAATAACAAAGTCACAAGGTACCTTTGTGGTCTCCTTCTTCCAAGAGACTTTTCTTTCTAGAAGAAGACTTGTATCCCAGTCCCCTTGTCTTCCCAAAGTTCACAGCCTATCTAAGCAAGGTGACATCTGGTTTATAGCAGCCTCTGTGAGCTCAGGTAAAAAGCTGAAAAATATGAGCATAGAAAAATATTTAATTTCTAAGAGCTATTTTTACTTGTTTTGTTGGTTGTCCAATTTCCCCGTGAAATATAAGTTCCATAAAAATCATTTTATTCTGAGGTTGGAGAGATGATGCAGTGGTTAATAGTACTGACTGTTCTTGCAGAGGACCTGGATTTGGTTCCCAGCATCCACATGGCCACCATCCATAGCTCCAGTTCCTCTTCTGGCCTCTGTGGATATTGCACACACATGGTGCACTTACATGCACAACACTCATACACATAAAAATAAATGAATCAAAATAAAAATCGTTAAGTCATCTAATTCCTCTGCTACATTCCCAAGACCCACACATTACGTAGATATCAACAGATGTGTGATGAATGAAGGTAAACGAAATGACGTATTGTGAGAAACAGCTGACCCTCATTTTGAGGTGCTAGATCAGAAAGGAAGGTGATATTGAGAGGACACAAAACACACCAACCTGACAACCATGCTCATCCAAGTCCCTCCGAAAGAAAACTGAGAAACACAATGAGACAGAAACTGGATTAGAAAAGGACTTCTAAGGCTGAATTGGGGACATGTAAATAAGAGGTTAAAAATTAGTTCTTCCAAAAATCACTTCTTTCTCAAACATCAACAAAATTGATATACATGTGCCTTTAGCCAGGCTGATCAAAACAAGAGAATGAGAACACATATCAGAAATGAACTGGATATAATAAATGTATCCCATTGTACCCCACAAATGCATAATATGTATAATTGTTACATTGATTGTAAAGTCTTCATCAAAAGTACATATGTGACAGAATGCATGAAATACGGTAGAGGGCTATAGGGGGTTGCAGATGGGGAGGGGGTATGAGGATGATTAAGATGTTTTATGAAATGCACAAAAATTCAATAAAAATATACATTAAAATTCTAATGAATATGTATACCTTTATGATAACTAATTTGAAAATTTCTATGAGTGGATACTGAAAAATATAACTTAGTTTGATGATCAATCTCGGTTGTCAACTTGACTACATTAAGAAATGCCTAGAAAATTGGTAAAGCAAACTTCTGTGGGTGTGAGGACTTTTCCAGAAGTGATTAGGGTGCAGGTCAGTGAAGTGACTGGGGAAGACCCATCCAGAATGTGGGTGGCACCCCAGGGTGGGGGCCTGGACAGAAGAAGAAGCTGAGGGAAGAGGGCCCTCACCCTGTGTGAACTGGTGAGTGTTTGGCATTGTCTATGGACATCAGATGCCATACTCTTTAGCTTCTGAACATGAACCTGTACTAGTGACTCTCCAGAGACTTCCAGGCCTCTAGTTACAAATTGAGGCTTCATTGTTGGTCCCTCTTGTTATGAGGTTTCCAGCTTCTTAGACTGAGCTGGTTGTGTGAGTCAGTCTAGTAAATCCTCTCTTATAGAATTATACACATTCTACCAGTTGTGTCCCTCTGGAGAAACCCAGTACAATTACTAAAACTAACGAAGATGATATTGAGAACCTATGTAGCCTTCTACCTATTATGAAGCAACTACAGGAGAAAAAAAGTCCATACATTAAGAAAAATCTGAGATTATACAAGTGATGAGCAGGCCAGACTCAGAGTATTACAAAGGCATATTGTCTCATAGAGCAGGAATCCCAACAGCACAATTGGAACAAAAGTTAAGAACCAGTCTCTCAAGTTTGAACTGTGACCTATAGAATGAGATGCCTTTAAATTCTCAATTTCTAAGTGCTTTTGGAAAGAGTGCTCAAGCTGAGCCTCCTGAAGTGCTGGGAGTCATAGTCACATGAAGGCTTAGTTAAGGGCACAGAGGGCTACAGCGGTGGGGACAGTTGGATTTCAAGCTCTTTTAATCCATTCATTTTATTATTTATTTATCAATACATTATTACAAATTTGGTTGCTAAATTTTTTGTTATTTATTTGTCCTAGTTTCTCTGACCCAAGCACAGGCATCCTAGACTCTATTCTGTCTCTCACACACCACATCTTGCTATTAGGAAATATTGCCTCATCAGGACAGCCAGAGTTTGGAGGCTTCGCTCCTCCTCTTCTCTCCAACAGCCCAAGTTCAAGGCCCTGTCAGCTCCTCCCTGGACTCCTGTGAAGACACCTAAGAAATCTCCCTGATTTTCAAAAACCATTCTCAACAGAGAAACAAAAGCACGTCTTTGCCTGTTTTGGGAGTACTCTCCCAAATTCCCATTCCTCTCCCAAGTAACCATATCCTTACTTTACAAGGCCCAGCGTCTCCTGGCCCTCTCAAGCCTACTGCTCCTTTCCCACCGTCATCCTCTGGCTCACTCTATGCCAACCACTCAGGTCTCTGGACCACTCTCTGAATATGGCTACCCATGACCACCCCAGGGCCTTTGAATATGTCTAGTCAAGACTACTTCCAAGCCTTTGTATTTGTTCTTCCTTTTTTCTGAAAGGTTTTCAGCCCATATAAAACCTGTTTACTGCTAAATTCCTTATAATCTGCTCTCAATAGCCCTTTCTCAGGGAAGCTGAGTATTCCCAGTACCTAAAACCAGTACATACAGAATATATTTCCAGTGAATGAATAAATGAGTGAATGAATGAATGAACAATTGAATGCCTTGAGTCCACAGAATAAAAGGAAACGTAACACATGAGTCTCATCAAGACCTTCAAGGTATTTTACTTGGTTCAACCAGTACTTTTCAAAAAATATATGAGTGTTTTACCTGTATGTATGTATGTATGTATGTATGTATGTATGTATGTGTGTATGTATGTATGTATGTATGTACACTGTGTCTGTGCAATGACCATGGAGGCCAGAAGAAGGCATAGGATCCCTGGAAGTGGAGTTATGGACAGTTGTTAGCTGCTATGTGGGTGCTGGGAACTGAACCTAGGTCCTCTGCAAGAGTAGCCAGTGCTCTTAGCTGCTGAGCCATGTCTCTGGACTTCAATCAGTTCTTTAAAAAAAATCATTAAGTTTGCACCAATTTTTGGTATCGTCATAAAATTCACAACATAATTTACTGTGTCCATAGCCTTGCCCACTTCCAGTTACTCTCTCTGTTTCCTACCCAAGGCTGAGGATTTAAGCCCTCAGCTTGCTGTCCCAGCTGCCTCCTGCCATGCCTTCCCCAGTATGATGGACACTTATCCCTCTGGAACTGTAAATCCAATCAATTCTTCTATAATTTGCCTTGGACTTAGTGTTTTATCACAGGGACAAAGAAGTAACTAATACAATTTGGATAGCTTCATTTCCATTTGTTGCAATATTTTTCCTAGGGAGCCTGTTTCTATTCACCTCGGGTACAGAAAGCAATGGCAAACCAAAGGAACAATTGCATCTCATTTCTGTTTGGTGAGACAGTGAGTTCACTGGGTTACCTACAGGAGCATGGGTGAGGGGTTACATACAGAAACGGGCAATGCAGGCATCTGCATCACCCAGCATGGGTTACAGCTCTTATAGCTGCATTATTGAAGTGCTCTGTGCAACTTGCAGACAGTTCCACTGAAGAGTCTCCCCTTCCCCAGCATTTGTTGAGTGCTTATGCATGTCCTCTAGAGGGGACTATGAATACAGTAAGCTTTCTGAGCCTCTGAGTCTTGTTGGTTTCTTGTGAAACTGATGAACCGTCCCCTCCCTCCAGGACATGGTATTTCAGTTCAGAGGAACAACTACCTACACGCACTGTTTCTTCACCAACTGCTCTACACTGAACCTCTGATACTGTGTTACGTAAAAAAGCAACCTTGTCTTATTTCTAGTCTTAGAGGAAAAGCTGTTTTCCATCATTGAATACAATGTTCAGTGTGGGGTTCTCCTCTATGACTTATGTCGACATAGTTTCATTATATTCCTAGTTAGCGCCATTTTTTATAACAAAAGGATGCTAAATTTTGTCAAATGCTTTTCCATATCATATGAAACACATATTTACATTTTCTTCCTTGTTTTGTCAAAGTACTGTGTTACATTGATCTGCATCCATACACTGAACCATCTTTGTATTGCAAGGGCAAATATGTCACTTAGTCATAGCGTGTAATCCTTCTAAAATGAAGGTGAGGTCATTTTCCTCAGATTTTCCAGAGGATTTTTTTACCAATACTCATAGGAAATATCAGTCTACAGTTCCATATTTTGAAGTGTCTGGCTTTGGTCAGGGTTGTACAGTTCCCACAGAAGGCATTCAAGAAAATTCCTTCCTCTTCAAATTTTTTTAGAAAAGTTTCATATTCATTCTTCTATGTACGTTTGATAAAATTACCCAGGGAAGCACTCAGCACCGGGATCTTATTGTCCAGAGTCTTTGGTTTTGTCTTTATTTGTCGGTTTTCTTTGTTCTGGAGGACTTTTTCTTTGTTTATTTGTTTTCTTGTGTGCTTGGAAAAGAGTCCTGCTGTGTTGCTCAGACTGGCCTAGGACTCTCAGTTCTCCTGCCTCTGTCTCCAAAGGGCTGGTATTACACATATGAGCCACGATATTCAGCCAGTAAGAGGGGTTTTTTTT